AACGGGGTTGAGCCTTCAACATATGAAGCCTCTGGGGAAGGAGGTGCAGACATTCAGTCCATAACAGGTTCCCTTAAGTGCATAAGGTAATATTATGACCAATCCCTCCCTTTAAACAGAATAAGATAAAATTTGAATTAAAAGGGGGTGGGGTAGTCTTCCTCTGTTAGTTTCCCCTATTCTTGTAAATAGTCTTTAACGTGACCTGTTTATCATGAACTGTTCCTGTGAAGGAAAAATAAACTGGCCCTTCCGTTCTAAGAAAGGTACATCTTAACGTTTGTGGGGTTCAGGTACTAAGTGAACGGCTACAAAGTGCTTGCTGCTCAGAGAAAGTTACACGGCAGAAACCAGCCGCCAGCCTCGCCAAGCTGTTTCCTTTGACAGTCCAGAGGCCCGCCCAGCCCTTCTGGTTTCCCGGAATGTTGTCCCTGGGTCGTCACGGGGTGGCCGAGGAAAAACCCTGCAGCCTCCCCGGTGAGCTGGAATAAGACCTCATTCGTCAACAGGGACGGATACCTGAGTGGCCCCCACGGAGCCCGACGCAAGCTCGAGGGCACAGTCACAGCGGCCAGTCCCCATGTGGCCCAGTGCGTGCAGAGTGTCCCAGACCCACTGCCCCAAAGGGACAGTTCACACCCAGGTCACCACAGCCCACCATCTCACAGAAGAGGTGGACGTGACCGGATTGCACAGACAAACATCCGACAGGCTCCGACAGGCTCAGTTTAGGCGGCACAGAGGTGACTGGGGAGAGTCTGGTTCCTCTCAGCACTGGCGTTTTATCAATTGCATCTCAAATGCTGTCACTCACCCGGAAAGGTCCTAAAACACCCCTTGCTTCCGCTTCTGAAGCAGAGGGATGTGGTGGCAGCTGTCTGGGGGATATGGGGCTGGGCCTGAGGGGTAGGAAGGAAAATTACCAGGTGGGACTGGACCAGACAGAGGAAAGCAGGCAGTGCGGGAAGGTGGGAATATCCCCACTGACGTCCAGCCAGCATCCCCCCACTAGAGGGGCCCAGGGGCTGCGTAGAAGAGCTCCATCAGCTGGGAAGCTAGGAGAAATGCCCTCATTTTATAGGGAGGAAGACTTTTCCTTTTCATAGAGCCTTGAAGAAGCTCAAGGAGAGATGTTAGCAGAACTTAAAAGGGACTGAATCCCTTACATAAGTGAACTTGTGTATTGGATCCATTATATACATGAAGCCTGGAAATAGGAGATTAATATCAGGGCTGGTGTAAATAATGGCTATTAATTGCAATTAATAACATTAACTACAATTAATTACAATTCACCACAGTAGTATTAAACATTTACTTTGTTCCAAGTCCTGCACTGGGCCCTTTACCTGTATTATCTCACTTAACCTCTCAACAACCCTATCAGAGAAGTACTTTCAGCATGCCCACTTTACAGACAAGGACACCAAGACTCGGAGAAATTAAGCTCCCAAGATCACCCAGCTAACAGGAGGCTGACCTAGGACTGAAATCATTGCGTGATTCCATAACTGTGAGCTCTGGCAGGAAGGAGCGACCTCACTCACGTTTCTAAAGTGAGTATCTTTCCAACTAGCCAGTTTGGGATTGCCTCAGGCAGGCAAGGAGCTGGGAAAAGAAGAGAGGGAAACAGCCACCCCTTAGGCCGCCCCAGGCTGGGACAAATATACAAGATCTCGCAGGGGCTCTGTAACCACAATCTAGCCTTCTTCCCGGTCTCTTTAGCACAGCACAGGCTATGAAGGGGGTGGGGACCTGTAGCCCCAGGGAGACTGAATTCTAGGCCACCCTTCTCCCACATTTCCCTGCAGAGCCCATCTTGGAGGGATAACTGTGCCCATCATTCCCAGATTCCAAGCCAAGCAGTGTACACCAGGAAACTAGTTTAACTGTAGATTCGCTAGGAACACACACACATCCGAGGGTCCACGAGTACCCTTCATTCCTGAAGAACCAGCCCAGTCACTTATTTTGAAGGTGAACCTTAGTGTGTATCAGAATCACCTGAAGGGCTTTTTTTTTTTTTTTTTTTTGCCGTACGTGGGCCCCTCACTGCTGTGGCCTCTCCCGCTGCGGAGCACAGGCTCCAGACGCGCAGGCTCAGCGGCCATGGCTCACGGGCCCAGCCGCTCCACGGCATGTGGGATCTTCCCGGACCGGGGCACGAACCCGCGTCCCCTGCATCGGCAGGCGGACTCTCAACCACTGCGCCACCAGGGAAGCCCCTGAAGGGCTTTTAAAAACACAGATTGCTGGGCTCCACCCCAGTGCTCCTGAATCCTGGGTCTGGGTGGAGCCTGAGAACTTGACCCACAAGTTCCCGGCACTGCTGGCACTGCTGGTTGGGGGACCACCTTTGAAAACCACCATTTTAACTGATGGAAGCCTTAGCTTTGAGACTCCATTTCTGGGCACGTATCTCCGCATGTTGAAATGTGAGAGCGGCTGTTCAAGGGCGTTCATCCTTACCACCTGTGTTGATCTCCTATTGCTGCTGTAACCTTACCACACACTTAGGGCCTTAAAACAACACCAGTCATCTTACGGTTTTGGAAATCAGAAGTCTAAAATGGGTCTGCAAGGGCCGCACTCTGTTGTGGAGACTCCAGGGGAGAATCCGTTTCCTACCTTTTGCAGCTGCTAGAGGACGCCTGCACTTCCAGTCTCATGGCCCCTTCCTCTGTCCTCAAAAACAGCAGCAGAGTAGCATCTTGAAACCTCTCCCTCTCTCTCTCTCTCTCTCTCTCTTCTCACACACACACACACACACACACACACACACACACACACACACACACACACACACGCTCTGCTCCGAGTCACTTCTTCTCTGACTAACCCTCTTAGAAGAATCCTTGTGATTTCATTGGCCCACCCCAGCTGAGCCCACCTAAATAATCCAGAGCAATCTTTCCACTTTAAGACCATCGGGACTTCCCTGGCGGTCCAATGGTTAAGACTCCACGCTCCCACTGCAGGGGGCACGGGTTCAATCCCTGGCTGGGAACTAAGATCCCACGTGCCATGTGGCGCGGCCGAAAAAAAAAAAAAAGACCCTTAACTTAATCACATCTAAAATCCCCCTTTGCGATGGAAGGGGAACATACGCACAGATTTTGAACATTAGGACGTGGGCATCTTTAGGGGCCTTCATTCTGTTCACCACCCCAGCCATCCGACAGCTGCTTACCCTCCTATATCACAGTGCCCTTCCCGCAAAAGAAAAACCGAAACCTTATCAGGATTTGCATGATGCCATCCCTCCTTCGGACTCTCCTGGTAATGAAGCATCTTGCACGGAGGACGGGTAGTGGGGGGAGGAAGGTAGGAGCCCTGAGGGAGGGAGTTAACCAAGTGCCTCTTAGACCAGGCCCCAAACACCCACTAAATCTCCCCACGCTTGCCAGACTTTCTAGAATCTAGCGCCTTGGTGCCTCTCCCTCTGAGCCAGGAGCCTCCAGGCTCCTCCCTGGGCCTCACCCCAGGTTAGTGCTCACCCAACGCTCAGCCACCAGCACTGCCTCCCAAACCTGCCAGCAGACGCTTGTGAAAGATGCAGAAAGAGGAACTCTACTCAAAGCCCTCTTGCCTTTTGAGCTTCCGATGATTACCCTCAGAACTTTTCTGGGCTGAAGTCCCAACCTCCAGGCTGTGAACTTTCTATTGGTGCGTTAATTTGCTCGGGCTGCTGTAACAAACTACGACAGACCGGGTGGCGTAAACAACAGAAATAAAGAAACGTACTTTCTCACAGTTCTGGGGCCTGTAAGTCTGAGGTCAAGGTGTGGGCAGGCTGTTTCTCCTGAAGCCTCTCTTGTTCGCTTGCAGACGGCTGTATCCTCTCTGCATCCTCACGTGACCCTTCCTCTGTGAGACGCCCCTGGTGTCTCTCTCTCTTTTTATAAGGACCCGGTCCTATTGGATTCCAGCCCATCCTCATTTTACCTCATTTTAACTTAATCACCTCTTTAAAGCCCTTATCTCCAAATAGGCTTGCATCCTGAGGTCCTGAGACTGAGGGCTTCAACGTTTGAACTGGAGGGAGGACACACTCAGCTCCTAACAGTTGGCTAGGATCCTGGGAGACTCAAAAATCACTTCCATCCTCTCTGTGTAACAGGTGGGCTAGGTGCAATCAGGGCAGGTATGGGGAGGGGTAGGCCAAGCTGGGACTGTCACAGTGTGTACCTCGGCCCAGGTCTGCCTTTTGGTCTTAGGTCAGGGATGGGAGGAAGGTGGAGGAGGCCAAAGAAGCCCCCGCAGGCTGAGTTTTAATCTCTATAAGCAAGAAGCAGCATTTAAGGCTCACCCTCCCGAAAGCCAACTCCCTGCAGAAAGTTTTTTGCTTGATACACAATTTACAGCAAGTCACAGACATTCCACCGAGTCAATACACACCCTGGACCCAGAGGAAATAAAGGAGCTGACAGTGAGGGCTTGTGTTTGATGGTCTTTGCAGGGGCTGTGTGGTAGAAAATGATTTCATCCTCAAGGCATGGCTCTGAGAAGGAAGTCAGCCAGCAAGTTGAAACAAAGCAAACAGCCTTATCTTGTTCTTGATTCATGGGTTCCGCTTTCTTCAAAGCCCTTTAGAGGCAGGACACTGAATTGTCATTGTCAGAGTAACTGCTGTTGCAAAGTCCCTCCTGGGACCTTGCATCTGTGACTTATAAGACCTGGGGTCTCTGACATTTTTCCTTGACAAACCTTTGCTGCTCGCTGGTCAGACTCACTACGCAACATGGGCTTAAAATATACATACATGAAATACACACATGTATATACTAAGTGAAATCAGCCGGTCAAAAAAATCACAAACACTGTATGATTCCACTTACAGTATAAGAGGGACCCAGAGTCGTCAAATTCATAGAGACAGAAAGTAGAAGGGTGGTTTGCAGGGGCTGGGGGTGAGGGAGGGGAAGCCCTTGTTTAATGGGTAGAGTTTCAGTTTTGCAAGATGAAAAGGGTCTGGAGATCTTTTGCACAACAGTGTTAATGTACTTATTGAACTGTACACTTAAAGATGGTTAACATGGTAAGTTTTACGTTACATATATTTTAGCACCGTTTTTTAAAAAGGCTGCTGTAAGCAATCATTTAATAGAATGAGTAATGATCATGCAATAGAATGTCAAGCCGGCCTAGGTTTGAATCCCGTATCTGCCACTCACTAGTTTTGGGACAGTGTTCTAAGTTCTTTGTTTAGTGCCTTAAAACGACAGCAATCGTGTTATTATTTCTGTTCCTATGGGGCAGGAATTTGGGAAGAGCTTTGGCTGGGTAGTTCTGGCTCAGGGTCTCTTCCGAGCTTGCAGTTGGGTGGGTGGAGGGTTGGATCACTGGGGGCTGCTGAACACCTCTCCCTCTTCCTAAGAGTCTCCAGGCTTCTTCATGTGGTCTTTCCACGAGGCTGACTTGGGCTTCCTTACAGCATGGCGGCCTCAGGGAAATTGGATGCTTCTGTGGTGGCTCAGGGCTCCAAGCAGGCAGATGTCCCAGGGACTAAGGGAGAAAGAAACAGCATCACCTTTTCTGATTTAGCCCTGGAGGTCACGCACTGTCAGTTCCTCCGTACTCTCTCGGTCACAAGCAAATCACGCACTTCCCCAAGTTCAAGGGGAGGGGTATCGGACTCCACCTCACCATGGGAAGTGGCAAAGTTCTAGAGCAGGTTTGGCAAATTACGACCCCTGGAACAAATCAGGCTCACCTCTCCAAGGCAGCCATGTCCGTGCATTTACATATTGTCTCTGGCTTTGCCACAATGTCAAAGTTGAGTTGTTTGGGACAGAGACTGCATGGTCTGCAAAACCAAAAATATTTCCTGTACAGCTCTTTATAGATTTTCCTGACCCCTGTTCAAGAAGACCATGTTGGATGGACAATATTGTTTTAGCCACCTTTGGAATATGCCGTTGGCTGCAGGCAGGTTACAAGCCGCTCCGAACTTTACCTGGGTCTCCAACTCTGTAAAAAGGAATGATGATCATATGTAAAAAGTATTCAGCACAATTCCACACCTGTAACACGTAAAGTATACAAATTAGTTCTTCCCCTTCTAGGCTTAATTATGATTTGAGAGTCACAGAAAGTTGTTTACTGCCACTCTAGGTCTATTAGCATTCAGAAATTCCCAATTTTAGACCCTCCTTGGAATTAAGGCAGACTTTACAGAGACCCTCTTTTTTCTTTTTTTAAGAAACTCTTTATGTTATATTGGAGCATAGTTGATTAACAATGTTGTGTTAGTTTCAGGTGTACAGCAGTGATTCAGTTCTACATATATTACATGTATCTCTTCTTTTTTCAAATTCTTTTCCCATCTAGATTGTTACAATGAGCAGGGTTCCCTGTGCTATACAGTAGGTCCTTGTTGGTTATCCATTTTAAATCTAGCAGCGTGTACATGTCAATCCCAAACTCCCTAACTATCCCTTCCCCCCCCCCCCCCCCCCCCCCCCCCCCCCCCCCCCCACCCCGTAACCATAAGTTCGTCAGAGACCCTCTTTTTAAACACGTATTTATTACTCTGGAGGAAGGAAATGTTTGCAAGAATTCTTTTAAAAATGCAATCCCCCGTCCCCCGCCCCCCAGCCATCCTCCAATGCATTATTTTATCAGACTAGCTACATTTTTACCTTTCAGAGAACAAATACCTAAGGGACTGAGGCAATCTCATAAATTTGGAACTGAGTGACCAGGCAACAGCATGGTGGTGGCAGGTCTCCGATGCCCTAGGGAGAGAAAGACACAAGAAATTTGACCTACTTCACAGTTTTGCTCAGGGCTGCCTCAGCCTCAGACAAAGCAATGAAAAATGTTTTCTTGGCCTCCCCTTACCCATCGCCTCCCTCTCCTATTGCCCAGACTTGTTATCTCCGCCCCGACCTCCTCCACCCGCCAAGATTGCCCTTGGATTTTTTCCTCTCCTACCCTGGATGTTTCCAAGGCCAATCCTCCAGCAGCTCTCGGAGATTATCTGCTTGTGACCCTGCTGTCCTCCCTGCTCCAAATTCAAGCAGGGTCCTTCTGAAGCCTAGTTATTCAGTGCTTCTGAACTCGTTCTCTCTAGAAGAAAGCTTCTATCCAAGAAAATAGAGACCCCTAACAGGCACTGGGGTAACATTAGACCTGCCAGTCCCAATTCTCCTACTCATTTACTCAAAAACCACCAAAATTAACAACTGTTAATTTGTGCATAATTCAAACAAACTATATTCTGTCTCCTCTCCAAATGACGTTTGACTCCAATCACTTTTTTTTTTTTTTTTTTTTTGCGGTTCGCGGGCCTCTCACTGCTGTGGCCTCTCCCGTTGCGGAGCACAGGCTCCGGACGCGCAGGCTCAGCAGCCATGGCTCACGGGCCCAGCCGCTCCGCAGCATGTGGGATCTTCCCGGACCAGGGCACGAACCCGTGTCGCCTGCATCGGCAGGCGGACTCTCAACCACTGCGCCACCAGGGAAGCCCCTCCAATCACTTTTAAAATCTACTTAGCTTCACCCTGAGCTGTGTTGGAAGAACAGTTCCTTTTTATTGCAGCTATATGTCGCCATGTTAGTTTTATATCAAATATTATGAGTGTTTGGGCGGGGCAGCTGGGAGGGGAAGTGTGTAACTAGATGATTAGAGAACACTCCCTCTGGCCCTATTAATTTTACAGCATTTTTCCCTCCTATTTTGCTTAAATTCGCAACTTTATGCAAATTTTATGAAACATTTTGTGGTATCCCCAGAGCCCCAGCTCAGCCAAAGGCCAGCTCAATTTACTTTGCTCCAGGAAGCATTGTGGTTTGGAAAAATCACTCAGCTGGCTGCGAAAAAAGTAAAAATTGTTACTACTACAGCTGATGCTGATCCTACAGATTGCTGTAAAATGAATAGAAAGTAGTTAAGCGCATTGCCCTAGGTCACAGACCTACTCATTTATGGACCTGGAATTCCAAAGACTTTTGGCTCTTCCAAGTGTTCCGTTCATTCATAAATTCATACTCCCTCAGGGTACCAGGCACTGGGCCCTTTCAACCAATATTGCTTCCTTTACTCCGTTCTCCAGAGTGCTTTTGTTTATTTTATATCCAATATCACTTATAAAATAACGTGCTGCCAACCATTCTCTTAAGCTCAAAAAAATTTTTTTGACAACATACTTTCTAATCTATCCTTAGGTTAGCGATAGAAAAATGGACTAAAATGACAGACATTGAGATATGTTTAGTAGAAAAGCTTTGGTTGTTTTGCTTATTTTTATCTCAGGTAAACATCTGGGAAGTAACTAAAAATAAAAGTATGGTCTGAGATGGTCAATGTTTCTGAAGTACTTTTATGACTAAAACCGTGAATGTAAAGGTCACATGAAATCAGAATTTTGAGTGTGTCTGTAACAGGAGCACTGCTGGTGGATGTACTGAACAATAGAGTTTTAGCCTGAGATTCAGTTTGTTTCATCACCTACCCCTTACCTGGCACCAGAGTAGATAACTGAGACACCTGGTTGCCATGGAGATGAGATGGCATCACCGGATCACATCTGTGTACAAGTATAGCTTCAGAGTTTCACAGGCCTTTTGCATAGGAGCAGGGGTACACCCGGCTTACTGGCTGCTAAGACAAAACAAAGGGATTTCCCTTATGAAATGGTTGATGTTGTTACCATGTACTATTTATTGAGCACTTACTATGTGTCAGGTAATATTCTGAGCATTTCTCAGATATTACTTCATTTCATCCTCCCACCAACCCTGCAAGCATTACTATTCCTATTTCACATAGTAAAAAACTGATGTTTAAACAGATTAAACAGACCTCCCTAGGTCTGCCTCCAAAACGTATATTCTGAAACATCATGCATTATTGCCTCTCAGGCATGGAAAGCAAAGTTATTGCTGTTTGCTTGATAGGTTTTTAGTAATTTAAGTGCATCATTTTAGGGCTAGTATCCTACCTAGTCACTTTGGCAAACTAGGGAGATTTAGTTGACAGGCCTTAAGCAGTGCTTGGAGAGGGTCTGTGCTTTTAAATTCTCAAGTACTTGAACTGAAACAGAGTGAGCTGGTCCCATTCGCATCCTGCCCTCCAGCCCCCTCTAGCTGGAAGTTATTAGTATTGACCATGAGGGCAAAGGAGAACATACTTGAAAATGTTTTGGGTTTGTTTTTGTCTCTTCTGAACTGAGTGGTAATATAGAAAGCAGGAAGACAGTTTTAAACCACTGACAGGGATCCATCCCACAAGACCGCAGAAGTTCATGGCAATCTCTGCATTTTCCAAGATACAAGACAGCAGAGGCTGGGGCCAGTCATCTGTGTGATTTAAGGAGATGGGGGCTGCAGAGGGTGGGATGGGGTACAGTGGCACAAAGCTGATAAAGACGGACCAAGCAAGCCACAACGCCCAACCCGAGGGGAGGGCTTGCACTTAGGAAAGATGCAACACCTTCATAGGCCATTTTATTTTCTCCCCGCATCTCCTCCTCTCAGTAGGTGGCTCCATGGCTGGGAGGGCAGAATGTGGGGCTGCTCGAAGCTGGGTGGTGAAGGAAGGCGTCTCTAAGGAGAGGATTTATGAGCTGAGGCCAGAGAGATGAGATGAAATTTTAACATTAAGCACTAGGGACAGGCATCTTAAAACGTGCTCTCAACACGGAACTTCTGCGTAGGGCTCTTCATGCTGTAGAAACCCCAACATGTGGAAAGGATAGGATCTCCCCACCTCCAGTAAAATCTCCTCGGGAGTTTTCAAGATGGTTTTTGTATTATTGGAATTTTGTTGTAACAAATAATGCAGGAAGGAAAGAGAGCCTCCTTCCTGTGTTTGAGATATTAAGTGCCACACCACGTCCCCTTACATCATATTAACTACATCATCCGTCTCATGACACTATGAGGTCACCGAGGCTGTTACCCAAACTCAACAGATGAGGAAAAGGGATGAGAGCTGTGTCATCTGAGGTCCTGCAGCCAGTAAGTGGCAGGTCAGGATTTGACCAGGTCTGGTTGCCTTCAAGGCACTGCCTTTTCCAGACACCACTAGTGGAAGCTGGGCCACCACGGCTGAGCACCTCTTTGAAATACAGACAGTCTGGTTTGGTGAGACCTTGTATAATAGCATTTGCCATACAGAATCATTTAATCCAACAAATAAGTATAACAGGAAACAAAGATCTACCTGATCACTAATTTCCCTGTGCTTTCATACCAGAGCATCAGTGTAACAGGAACGAGCAAAGTGTGATGAATTCTATAGGAAACATATGTAGGAGGGGCTCACAGAACACAAATGAAGTGAATCTTGAAGCATGAACAGGAGTTTTCCAAGCCAGGAAGGACGCTTAGCACCTGTAAAGTCATTGCATAAGTGCCAGGCCAAACAGATCAATAAGCAAATCAATAAGTAAAATTTTAAAAAATAAAATTAGAGTGGACTTCCTTGGTGGCGCAGTGGTTAAGAATCCGCCTGCCGATGCAGGGGACACGGGTTCGTGCCCCGGTCCGGGAAGATCCCACATGCCGCGGAGCGGCTGGGCCCGTGAGCCATGGCCGCTGAGCCTGCGTGTCCGGAGCCTGTGTCCGCAACGGGAGAGGCCACAACAGTGAGAGGCCCGCGTACCGCAAAAAAAAAAAAAAAGAGTCAGGGGTTTTCATGAGAACTAAGAGGAGGCATTTAGATGGACTTCCGGAAGCCTTCCTGGAAAAGGCGACACCTCAGCTGATACCTGAAGGAGAAAGAGGACAGAACGTTCCTATAGGGAAATTCCCTCTGCAAAGGCCAGGGAACTTGGTGGCTTGAACAGCTAAAAGGAAAGGAAAAGTGGTCGGGAGGATGTGGAGTTCTGAAACCTGAAAGGATGAGGAGGAACTAAGTAATTAGAATCTCCAAAGCCCCAGACCCACGTCTTTATCCCGAGGGCAGAGCTGTCAGCCGGATCCGTTCATAATCTCCCCCTCCTGCTCTGAGCGTGTATAACAGTTTGGAGCCAGGGACAAGACAGAGCCCGTGAGACCAATTAGAAAAGTATTTCTCAAACTCCTGACAGACAAGATACATTCTACCTGTTAACCCAGAATGTACACAGATCTCCGGACATACACTGACACAAGCGTCCAGAAACCAAATTTACTCCTTTGTTTGATGCACTCTGACGTTTTCTAATCTATTCCTTTTTTTTTTTTTAATGGTGAAACTGTATGACCCACCTCAACTGATTTCGTGACCCGTTAATAAGTCACAACAGGTAGCTTGAGGAACGCTGAGGTAGGAAGTTGCTGTCATCTTCCAGAGAGGAAATAATAGGATCTAGGGAAGCAGAAAGGTGGATTGTAGGATGTGGAAGGATTCCAGAAGGATTTAAGAGATAGGAGGGAAGGACCCAAAGGAATTAGGGGTGATGCCCAGAGTTGTGGCTTTAACTCTGGGTAGAAAAAGGAGTTACTTGCTAAGATAGGGAAAGTGAACTTGAAGATCTACTAGGAGGGTAGACACTGAGTCTTTGAGAAATGCCCATTTTGTTTGGTCAACACAAATGTACCTCTTCATTTGAGGATTATCTGAAGAAAAAGTGTCTAAAGGCTACATTATGTAATTCCAGAAAGTGGTCAGGTTTTACTAAAAGAGGGAGCAAAATGGTGGTGTTGAAAAGGAGGAAACCATTCGTCATCGGGCAGGGGGTAGGTTCTGCAGCGAGCCTCAAAATCCTACTTAGAAAGGAGAGTCAAGCTATAAATCCCAAGGAAACAACCCAGATCGAATACTCACCTGGTGCTTTGCTGTGGCTGCCATCAGGGTTTTTGTAAGACAGAGAATAGGGTAAGTAGAGCCTTTGACTTTTCAGGTACCAAACTCGTTGGCAGGAGTTAACTTCTTTACAAAGTTGGCACCGCTTTTAGAATCCCCGATCACGAGTTCAGGAAGGGAGCGGGCATTGCTTATGCACTTCTTGTAAAAACGAAAATCCATTAACTTTATTCTTCACGCACGTTCTCCAACAGCACCGGGTCAAAGGGACTTTTTTCCTTCCTCTTTTCAGAGCTTCCAGGTCCCAATCTGGCTCCTTCTAAATCTTTTATTTTACAAAACAATAGGGAGTGGTGGTAGCCTGTGGCTAGTTGAAGATTTTGAACAATAGGTGTTTCTGAGCCGGGTTTATGGAAATGGTCCTGTCTGTGTCCTGGGGGTAGATTGTAAATGAGATGTCGACAGGAGCTCTATTGTGTGGATGGCATTCGGCCTGAAAGAGAGGAATTTCCTTACTGTGCTAGTATTTAAAGTAGATTTGTTGCTGCTTTTGCTAAAACTTTTTATCCAGCTTCTGGAGCTAACAGCACTGAATGAGTCACTGGGTAAGACTGAGACTTCCTGCCCTCCCTAGCAGGGCTCCGACTCTCATTTACATTTAGAAAGGACAGACTAAGAAGATTGCTTGGATTTTCATCAGCTTGAGCCTCTTTTTCAGATCGTCCCGGGGACCTGAGCCGCCTGCAATCCGTTACCCCCAGGAGAGCGTGGCCAAGCCGGGCTGTTTTTCTCACTCCCTGGAAAACTTCTGGCTGTTTTGCTCGCTTTCTTTTTAAAATCCAAGGAGAGAGACAAACACCATCTCCCGCCTTACGCCTTCCCTTTTTTGTAAATGACAGGCAATTTCAGTTTACTGTAATTACCTCGGACTGAGGTTGGACCAACTCCACTCTTAGAAGATAAGGCAACAGTTTTATTACCTCTCAGCCAGGTGCCTGGGGGTGACAAGGCTGGCTTTTATCTGGAGACGTGGCAAGGTTATCAGTAACTGAAAGGGGCTGAACCTTTGAGCTGGTGGCCATTAACATGCTTCCCTTCCCTGTGATCAATTTCCTAACTCTTTATTGGCAATTAATGTTGATCCAAAGACCAGCGCTGGTCTCCTCCAGTGTTTCCGCCTTCCGGCACCTCAGCACTTCAGCAATCCTACTGATAAATGGTGTACACACACAATTGCAACCACGGGCCAGTCCCCGTAACATGAGCTTGAAATTCCAAACAAGGCCCCAAACGTGCAACCCACTGAACAGCTTAACATCCTCTCATTTGGTAGGTTTGCAGTGGGTATAGCTGGTTTTTCAAAGAATTGATTAATAAAACCTTTCACCTACGACAGTAGAAATCCAAAAGAATCAAAATGATTTCGCTTTACCATCCATGGTTCCTTTCGAAAAGTAAAATGTAATCCACACCAGGAGGCAGTGCGGGGCTTGTTCTAGATTAAAAGAAAAAAAAAAATTTCTAGTGCTTGATCTATTTCTGCCTGCAGTTCATGGACATGTCTAGCCACACAACGGTTTATTCTTTAATTCAAGCTATTTTACATGGAGTCTGTCTGTTATCTCTTGGATTGGAAATGTGGGATGAAAACTTGTGATCTGAAAATGATTTTCCAGCTGTGTCCTGGTATGGTGGGCCAAGGAGAAGAATGTTACTTTTATCTCTTTGGCTGTGAAGTCAGATCATAGCTTTAGGGTACAGGATGAGAATGGGGGAGAGAATGATGGAAGGGATGGCTCAAAACACACACACACACACACACACACACAAGCACACAACCTGGCAGATATGAAGTGTTTACCTCCAAGCGTTTATCTTCAGACTACTAATTCTGTAATTTTTATAGACAGCATTCCACACTGTGGGAAGAGGCCAGTTAAAAGCCCCTACGAGTACCCCTGTTACCATTATAACAAAAACCAACAAAGGTGTTTCTGCCAATGGTGTGTGAAACACAGTGACAAACCAATGAATACCCAGAACTCACACGGTCGAGGAAAGAGAGACAATGTCAGAAGTATTATCGAATTTGAAATCGGATTCCTCTTTTCCTTAAAGATGTAGAAACCTTGCCCACCCACCAGGCCAAGCCCACCACCACCCAGTCACTACCCATCCCCCTTTCTCCTCCTGGGCCAGGCTGGGCCAGAGCTCCGTGCAGGACCAGAGATGCCCTGGAGGAGGAGGTCCCTGGTGGGGGGGGGGGGGGGGGGGGCTCTGATGCACCGAGGCAGCTGAAGGAGTGGGTGGCCACCATCCTTCAGCGCTCTGAAAGCCATAGGCCAAAACCTGACCTTGCAACTACTTGCAGTGTGACTGTTTCACCTTTTCCTGCAGACAGACAGGTTAGAGTACCCAGGCCCCCCAGGGTGTGTCATGCAAATCAGCTTTCTACAATCCAAAAAGTTCCGAATTCCAAGCACGTTTGACCAAGAGATTCAGAAAAAGGCTTCTGGACATTGCTCTCATGAGGGTTCAGAGGAGAATCTTAATGACAGAAATATAAGGCAGCTCTTTAAAAGAAGAGAACGGAGGCTTAGATGAGAAGAACCCAGGTTCCAATCGGACCCCACTCTGCAGAAGGTGGGCAACCCAAACTCTCTTGCCTCCAGTCACTTGTGGAGCTGGGATGATAGGTCCAGGCACCTGGCTCCAGGAAACACAGTGAATGAGGATGCTGTGGGCAGTAGCTAGAGTAAACTGGTAGATTTTAGTGCTGGCCTCACCAGTTTGCTGGGATTTTTAAAAACATTTTATTGGAGTAGAGTTGATTTACAATGTTGTGTTAGTTTCAGGTGTACGGCAAAGTGAATTAGTTACACATATACATATATTCATTCTTTTCAGATTCTTTTCCCTATAGGTTATCACAGAATATTGAGTAGAGTTCCCTGTGCTACACAGTAGGCCCTTGTTGGTTATCTATCTTATATATATAGTAGCGTGGGTACGTTCATCTCAAACTCCTGATTCATCCCTCCCCACCACATTTCCTCTTCGGTAACCTTAAGTTTGTTTTCGATAACCGTAAGTCTGTTTCTGTTTTGTAAATAAGTTCATTTGTGTCACTTTTGAAAAATTAGATTCCACAGGGAATTCCCTGGTGGTCCAGAGGTTAAGACTCCGTGCTTTCACTGCTGTGGGCCCGGGTTCAATCCCTGGTCAGGGAACTAAGATCTCACCAGCCATGTGGCATGGCCAAAAAAAAAAAAGATTCCACATATAAGTGATATCACATGGTATTTGTCTTTCTCTGGCTTACTTCACTCAGTATGACAATCTCTAGGTCCATCCATGTTGCTGCAAATGGCATTATTTCATTATTTTTATGGCTGAGTAATATTCCATAGCATATACATACCACATCTTCTTTATCCATTCCTCTGTTGATGGACATTTAGGTTGCCTCATATCTTGGCTACTGTAAATAGTGTTGCAATGAACATTGGGGTGTCTGTGTCTTTTTGATTTTTTTATGGTTTTCTCTGGATATATGCCCAGGAGTGGGATTGCTGGCTGATATGGTAGTTCTATTTTTAGTTTCTTCAGGGAACTCCATACTGTTCTCCATAGCGGTTGTACTAATTTACATTCCCACCAACAGTGTAGGAGGGTTCCTTGATATTTTTATTTAATTCTGGCAAATGACCAAAACCCAACTGTACAGTGGAATTGTGAATGCAGTCTGAAGTGGCCCTTTACGAACCCACTGTAAAGGCTGATGGTGTTTGCTGTGTGGTGCAGACAGAAGAAGACTGGGGGGCCCTGGCCAAGTTCTTCTCTGGACCTGTGTCCTCATCTGTCGGTGACACAGTTGGATAATGAAGTGTCATTTTGAAGCACTGATCCTGTCATCTGAGAGTCAGTAAGGGGGCTGGTGTCCTTTCTGGGCCCAGCGGGCTGGTAGACGGTATTCCACAGCTTAACTCAAAAAGTCTGTCCTGTTTTTCCTTTGAGGAGGGGGGTTTCAGGGAGGAAAGCGGAAAGGAGTCGGACGAATAATTAACTGTCTCACTGCACAGATCAGGCCCCCCTACATGCCTTGCTCTCCAGACACAGGTAATTATTTCTCATCGCCCTCCAACTGACAGCAAGACATGCTGGATACATTTTCTTTCTTCTTTGCTTCCTCATATATCCTGTTTCCCCCAGTTTGTCTGATGCAAAAGCTTCTGCTCCAGGTGGAGGCAGCCCGCCAAGCCCTCTGTCCACAGGGCAGCAGCGTCAGGCTGCTTTGACACAAGGTCTGCCTTCTCTCCGAAGCCCAGGGTGTTGGCCAGAGAGCAGAGGCTCCTGATCGATCCAGCCGGAGGTTTCAGTGAGGACTCAGCCCGACGGACCATGATGACACGTGACCTCACCGGGTTTGGACACAGCACCCTCGCTCTGCATGGCCAGCTCACCGTTTCAAGGGAGACCAGTGGGCAGTGTGTACCCGAGACCCTGCTCCCACCTGGAGCCAGTCAGCCACTCCACCTGGCCTCAGAGCTCTGTACCCCCTGAGGTCCGCTGTGTGTCCCAGACACGGCCCCACGGCAAAGTGTCCTGCTGGGCTGTGTGATTGCATTCCAGGTTTCCCTTGCTTTCCAGGTCCATGGTACAGGTGTCATGAAATGAGACCAGGAATAAGAAGTCAAAGAATAATAAGGAGTGGAAGGAACTGAGGAGGAAAGGCAGCTGCTCTGGGGAAAGGGCAGTGAGCATCACAGCCCCACATGGATAAAGCCCAGCAGAGAGGGTGGAGGAAGTTAGGTGGATAATCCATAGGACTAACTGCTTCCAGCTGATACGAGGTGGGCCTTTCACATTCTAGCTCCATGTCAAAAGCTGGCCAATCACTGCTGCATTTGGCCAGCAATTGACCAAGGCCAAACAGAGGTGGGCATCAGTGATGGGAGATTATGTTGCAACATCCAAGGTCACAGAGACTGGCTTTGCTGAGTATTCATTTTCTTTCTACCCTGGTGACTTTGCTTTCCTAATTATTAGTCCCTTTTTCTGCTTCTCCAGGAAATCCCTTCTCGTCCCTGTTCCTTCCTTCACGTAACAAGTATTTACCACCATACGACTACGTGCCACGCATGGTCTAAGTACTGTGGTTGTCGTGAATACAACGGACAACAATGCCTGACCTTGTGATTCTTACATTCTTAACTAATTCCTTTCTCTCAGTTTGGTCCGGAAAAAATAAAAAATTTCACCTAACAGGGAATAGAGGCAAGTATTGCTAAGAAGTGACATCTAACAAGAAATGAAAGCTAGCTGATGAGAAGCTTAAAAGCAAAATGTCCTTCCCCAATCCTGGCACCATCCCTACCCCAGGAATCCCAGGCCTGTTATCTTCCGACAAGACCCAGTCTGCCCGAACCTGAGGAGGTGGGACCAGCTGCCCAAACAGGAAACCTTATTTCATTCTGTAACCCTGACCTTGGGTCCTGAATCTTCCCCTCCTGTAAACAGTCCATTCAACCCAGGAAGACCTGCTGACTTGGCTGGGACAAATTCTGAAAAATTCACATAATGTTACAAACATTAAAAAAGAAAAAAAAAAATCCCTAGATCCTAGAGGAAGTGGTATATCTGATTCAATCGTTAGAAATTGCTTCATAAAGTCATGGAACAAATGGAAATTTAATCCTAACAGATGACACTGCCAGGGCAGTCACTTGTGTGCTTGGATGACTCAGTAGCATCTGTTGGAGAGGCTGGGAAAATGAGCCATGAAATCATGAAGGCATTCCCTGCTGGAAGCAACGGCCCCGCCTCGCAAATTAGTAAGCCAGGCATTCTCAACATCCTGCTGTGAACCTTTGTGCCTGGTTCTATGAAGGTTATGACTCACCTGAGCTACCGGTCAAATGATTCTTACTCAGAGTCCTCAGTTTTTAATCTTTACTATTAAATGATCAAGGCAACAACCAGCCGAACGTCTGTCTACTTTCAAGATGTTCCTTTGAAATGATTGATTTTAGGCAACAGCTGATTTTACATAGGGTAACCCTCAAATTCTCATATTAACTGGCTGCCAAGCTTCATTAAAGAGTCTCATTAGAGGCTTTAGACCTCCGTCCCTGGACCTGGGCCTTCTAAAATGACTTTCCTCCAAACAGCACTTAACTTCCTTTAATTTAGTTAATTAATGGAACTTTTTGAAGAGAACGGTTACTTTGATCTAAACCCTTTTCTTAGTTTCTGGTTAACATTTCCAGAGAGGAACAAAGAAGGATGCCCTCATGCCTGGCAGAAGCTACCAGCAGCTCACAACTGCAGTCCTTCCTCCAAATCAGAGACCATGGAGGGCGGGAGAAGCCCTGAGAGGAAGAAGACTGGTTAAAACTACTGCCCTTGGCATTTTCGTGGGTGTTTGCCCCAGACAGAGATAAAAGAGCTAGGGTGGGGCTGCAAAGCACGCTCTCTGGGAAGCTGGGCCTGCAGTTTGTAAATCCTCAGTCATCCTTGAAAATCAACTAACTGGAAACAAGCGATGGGAATTAGAAATGCTTCTACCTGCAAGCTTCCTGCAAACAACCGACAAATTCAGATAAAAATGGAAAATGCAAGTCCCACCCACCAGGAATCCTCAGTTTCCTGTCTATTCATCCTCACTGCCATCCACCTAACCAAATGGCCACAGCAGTTTTTGCTTTTCAGCTTGCCAAGGAAACAAAAACTGTTGCCCTAGCGGATGCTTTGGGGGGAAAAAAAGGTCAGCAACCTCAACCCAGAGATCTTACCCTGCAGCACGGGTAAAATTTTTGTTGAGGTGATAAATTAAAAAGCAAGACTTCTGACTCTTGACTTCCACTCTGCGTTTTTTGGGCAAACGCAGCCCAGACGTCCCGCGTCCCAGCGTGACTTACCTGGGAGCCTCGGACTGTACCTTGAAAGGTACATCGGTGATGTTCCGAGCTTGGTCACCAGGGGGCGCTCGAGAGCCGGGCTGCCGCAGCAATACTTTGTTTTCTCAGACTTGGAGTGGCGAAGGGGGAGGGCGGGGGGAGGGGGTGGCGAGGGAGATGCAGCTGGCTTTCAAAAAATCCTTTTGTTCTCTGAAATCCTGCCGCTTGCCGTTTTAGAAGGCAAAGGTTGCCACGTTACCTGTTGCCAGGGTCCTGAGAGTGCTTGGGGAAAATGTGGGCGACAAAGGTAGCGCACAAAGTCCT